ATCAGGATAGATGTGAGATGTGCCAGACCTTCGGAAACAGGGCGAGTTGCTGCTTTGTTATTTATAGATCAGATGTTTGTCTCAAACACAGATTGTGTTTGCTGTCTCCATCCAACTGTATTGGCTCATTGTAATTCTCCAAGATAAACTCCTGAGATCCAGCTTTGTGGCTGGAATATAAACCTCCAGCCTTCCTTTCTCTAATGCAGAATTCACCGGATCCTGATTCTGCTTATCTCTGCGGACAGGTATCTCTGTGCATGGTCATGGTTTTATCCTGCCTTGTTGTGAGGTGCCTCTGAGGCTGCATGGCTGAGGGAATTTCCTTGTGTTCATTCATCTCGTGGCTCATCCTAAACTGGTATCACTGTGGGTTTGGTTAATTTTTTCTTTGCTGCTTGAACTTTTCTTTGACAGGTAGGAGGAGACATTGTCTTGGTGTGATTTTTAGGGTCCCAGATGTTTTCTTGGTGTGATTTTTAGGGTCTGTGTGCTGGTCTCCTTGCAGAGTGTTCCTGTCTGCCCACCCAGACAGCACAGACGTCCCCACAGCCGTGTCCCCTCACGAAGCAGCTGCCAGGGCACAAGGCTCTGCTGTGTGCGCGTCACCGGCGGCTTTGTTGTGTGACGGGAGAGTGAAGAGGGGGTTTGTGTAGTAACAGTGGAGGTTTCATTGAGGTCTCGAGTGCCTTAATATGCCTTGTGTGTACAAACAGGGCTCTGTTGGGTCCTGGTGTTGGTGCAATGGCTGATGGCAGCGCTGGGTGTTGTGTCCTTACACAGCTGCCCTTACAGGAGGAGCTTTGTGCTCCGATGGGACTTGCAATCAATCATCCCAGTGATGTAGACCTGGTGCAGTGATATTGCCTCTCTGAGCCTCTAAACCAGCCAGGAAACAGCAGAGCTGGTGGCTGGTGTTTGATCATAGTTTCCATTAGCTCCTTCAATAGTGACCTGCATTTCCACCCGTGGGTACCATTCCCAGGCATGTGTTGGTGTTCACTCTGTGCCGTTGGCTCCCACAGTGCAGCACAGGGACCAAGCCACTGTGCCTCTGCACAGGGGCATCTTCCAGGCAGAGAGGCAGCTTGCACAGGGAACAGGGTAAAACAGAGTGCTGAGAGAAGGCTGGAGTGGGTGAGAGCAGCAGCAAGTCCAGAGCAGGCTGCCTGCTTGTTGTTACGTGCACCTCTGCTCTGTGCTGAGTAATGCCCTAATTAAAACCCACCCAGAGACAGAGGTGGGAGCACGAGGGGGAGCTGAGTGACTCTCCCAGCCATGGTGCTCGGGGTAGGGAAAGGTGAGCTGAGGACAATGCCAAGGACTGAGGCAAACCAGCTCCCTGATGCATTTTTGCTTCACTGGATTATTGCAAAGCCAATGCTTCCGTTCCTGAAGTGCCTTTGGAATCTGCTCCTGTGGATGGCACAGGTAGCCTGGGGAAGCTGTGGGCACCTCCCACCTCTCTAGGAGAGGCTGCAGCAGGAGGAATGCCAGTTCCAGTAATTCCGTGGAGCTCTTTAAGAGCCTTCAGGCTTTTCCAAATTCCTAGTTTAGGACAAGATGAAAGCTGAGGGTGTGGAGGTGTTCTGACCGCCCAAATGGCCTTCCTTCTGCCCTCCCTGAGTCACTCACATGCCCAGCTGAGACCAGCCTGAGGCTGGTACCCTCCTTCCTCAACCTAGAGGAGGGAAAGGCTTTCAGGGTAGCTGAGGGGACCTGAGGCATCGTCCTCTCCTGTGACATCCTTGCATTGTTGGTGTTCGCCATTGCCAAGTCCTGTCTGCACACAGGGAGTGTGCAATAAGAGGGCACACAAAATCTCCAGGTTATTCATGGTAGGGGCTGTGCAATATGTGCAAGTGCCAAAATAGTGCAGAGGGGGTTTTCTTTCTAATGCCCTGGGTTCCTAATCATGTCCATGCTGCAGGATGACAGCAGTGATGCTGTGCCCCACTGTACAGGAGCTGGCAGCCAGTGTGCTGCTGTTGGGTCCTCTCCTTCCAGTCTCTACTTCTTAAAATTGCTGAGTTAGCTTCAACAAACCGGTACTGGAAAGATAAAGTCACCGGATCCCACACATGCTCACCTCGATGGATTTTAATTAACCTTTTCCCCGCAGCCCTGCTCTGTAATCTGGGCTAATTGCACAGGGATCAGAGCCTGGCACTGCTGCTCGGCCAGACAGAGCGAACCTCGGCAGCGGGTCTGCTGCCTGTGCTTCCAGCTGGGATCCATCGCCTCCTCCTCAGCCTTGCAGAGGAGATAAACTGCCTCCATACCAGATATTTAATACTTTGCAGACCTGCTGCTGCCACTTTCTTTCCCCTGACAGGGAGCTCTGGTTGGAGACAGATCAGTGTTCCTGCTGGAGGGACCCGAGCGTGGTCAGAGAGTGCACTCAGCCAAAGCCATCTCCTTGCACTGTCTCCTTTCTTTCGCTCTTGTGTCCCTCTCCCCTGTGTTTGATGGCAGCAGGACCCGTGTTAGCCCACGTAGCCGGTGTCTGGGGCCTGATGGATTGTTCCTGCTCAGGGAAGAGGCTGACGAGAGCATTGGCTGGTTCTTTGCTGATCCCCGTGTCCTTGCAGATGAGGACATGAACTCCAGTTTCCTTACACAGCAGGGATGTGATCCAAGCCCCACTCCCCAGCTCTTGCTGCGTGGGGTTCCTGCCCCCGTGGGCTCTGACCAGTCCCCACGACCGTGTCCAGGCAGAGCAGGCAGGCCATGGGCTTGGCACGCTCCATCCTGGCACGGCTCTGGCTTGCTCAGAGTCAGCTGAAGAGAAGCCTGTATGCTTCTCATTTGCTTCCTTTGGTATATTAATTTCAACCAGATTTTGTCAGCTCTCCAGTAGGAAAATAACCCCGCTGTGCCCCAAACCGCAGCTCATGGAGTGTCACGGAGGGATTCGGGTCGTGCTGCTGCCAAGATGTGCACCAAGGGCAACGTGACCCTTCACAGCCATGCTCCTCCTGGCCCTGGGATCAGCTCCTGCTGCTTTCCCGTCCCTGTTCCTGGGTGACTCACTCACTGGCAAACCTTGGGCATGCCAGGACAGGCTGGAGGAGCTGCCACTGCTGGGGGTGGCTGGTGGGTCTGCCCCCTCCCTGTCCCCGGGGACAGTGTTATTTTGGTCACACCATCATGCAGGGTATGTCTCAAAATGTCTCTGGCACTGCAGAGGAGATAAGTGAGGCTCCAGGAGGGCCAACAGGATGTGGTGGGTTATGTGGGAGCACGTGGCAGTGAAGGTGATGGGTGGTTCTACAGCCACAGTGTGAGGAAGGACTGGCCACTCTCCCAGGCCAAGAGGGGATGAGGCAGAGGGGGTTGGGGTGGGGACAGCCTTTGGAATCACAGAGATTTAGAGGGTGAAAAGTACAAAGGGGGAAGAGGAGACATTGAGAGAGGAGATGTAAAATTACTGAGTGTGAGTAATGGGGTGAAAGTAAGAAGTTTATTCAACACATCACTAACTTTCTTGGACAGTAAATTCTCTACGGTTTCAGATTAGAGTTGTAGGGAAGCAGTGGAATAGTCATTTAAATTCAGACAGAAAACTTTACTACGCTATATAAAATCTTCCCAAACCCCAGTTTTCCTGTTCTTGAGCCAAACAGAGCCAGTTCTGTGTATTAATAGCTAATCCTGCCCATAGAGATGAGCAGTGAGTGCCTCAGGGGCTCTAGGGCTCTGCAGCATCCCAAGTGTTTAAAGCCTTCGCAGAGGAAAATTGTTTAATCAGGATTAGGTTGCTTTGCCCGACATCTCAGCCTCACACCACAGCATTTTTCCCCCTAAAAAACCACTCTGGCTTTGGCTCACTCTTCAGAGAGCATCACTCAATGCTTATGTTTCACCTCAAAAATCTATTCATTTTCCTTTCTTTCAAAGTCAAGTGCCTTGGAAAAAAACAGGAAGAAAATACCAAAACCTTCTAAAAGGCTCAGTCCACTGAATTGAGCAAAGGGCTGGCATTACAGAAATCAGCCTTTTTTTCTGGGTTAATGGAGACCACAGCTGCAGTGGGAGCTCCCAGGAGGAGCCTGGCATGGCCGGGGCAGAGGGCATTGTGACTTCGCTGGGAGTCACTGGGACAGGGAGGGCAGAGGGTTTGCATGAGCTCTGAGCCTTAGGTTTTAAAGTTTTAAGCAGTGAGAAACCTTGCAATGAGAAGTGTTCTGAGAAAACAGTAATTTTGTGTTGTTACTGTGCAGCTCAGGAACACCAAGTCACACATGTGTCACCTCTCGCACTTCGCTTCCCGTCCTGGCCCTGACCAGACCTTTCCTTGCTGCTCGCTGATTTTTGTGGCAATTAATCTGATTTATGTAAAATTACAGCCCTGGGCTCAGTCGAGGCTGAGTTCCTCCTTTCCCCGTGGTTGTTGGTGCCCTTTGGCTCCCTGGGGGGAGCTGTAGGTGAGCCAGAGCTCGCTCCTGGAGCAGTCTGGGCTCTGGGTGCTGCTGGGGGCTGCGGTGCTGGGCAGGTTCCTGCACCTCTGGCATGCAAGGACAGGGCTGGGTCCACGCCCTGCCGTGATTCACTCAGGAAATGTTTCTTTATCTCATCAGTAACAGTGTGGCTGGGATGGCAGGATCGCTCAGCTCGGCTGGTGTGGCCCCCTCGCTGGCTGGGGGGGCTGAAGGTGCAGAAAGAGCAGAGAAACACGAATAGACCCAGAGCAAAAAAATGTAAAATATGAGTTAATCCATCATCTTGGAGCGAATGGGAAAGGGGACCATTGTGAGGTGACCAGACGGGGAAGGTTTATGCTGACTGACAAATAAGATGCTTTTTTTTTGGTTGCTGTTCACCAGTTGGGGGCTTGTCCCTGAAATTCCATGAACGGCTTGGCTGATGGAACATAAGGAAATGGCCAATCTCTGCATTTGTTCCCCAGGTCTAGAGTCAGGCAGCAGAGGACTAATAATGCTGACTCCAGACCCCCCCATGCCCACCCCTCTGAGTTTGTCCCCCTCTCTTTTTTGCAGATGTGGACGAGTGCCAGGTCCACAACGGGGGCTGCCAGCACAGGTGTGTGAACACCCTGGGCTCCTACTACTGCGAGTGCCGGCCGGGCTCCCGCCTGCACACGGACGGCAGGACCTGCATCGGTAAGGCCCTGCCTGGGCACTGCCTGGGCACTGCCTGGGCACTGCCTGGGCACCTCTGACCCTTGGAGCCCTTTTTCTGCTGCTAAATCCATGGCAGTGTACAGAAAACACCTGCCTTGGCTTCCTCACTCCTCCCTGCCCTCTGTGCAGGGACCATGGCATGATGCTGGTGGATGTTCCTTTGTGTCCTGGTTGTCTTCCCCAACATGTTTCTGTTGCTGGGTTCAGAGCATTTGCTGTTCTTCTGGGTGGTCACGTACAGCTGTGGCTGCTCTGCAGTTCCCCAGTTTGTTCTGGTTCAGGAGAAGTGACTTCCAGTGCTTTGGTGCTTCTGCTTTTGGTTCTGGATTTATCAGATATGGCAATTGGTGCTTTGGTGCTTTGGTGCTTCTGCTTTTGGTTCTGGATTTATCAGATATGGCATTTTCAGAGCAGATACATAAACTAGATTATGAGGAGGTTCGAGTCAGGCTTCATTTTGACCTCAGCTATTTCCCCAGCCCACGCTGTGGGCACTGGGTGTGACAGACAAGTGACAGTAAGTGTGGCTGTGTGTGGAACTGTGGCCATAATAATCCCAAAACCTCTTCCCTGGGATGTTGGTCATGCATCTGCCTGGATAGTGCATGTCCAAACATTCCCATCCAGGCACCAGGTTTGGGCCAATTTCTTGAAATATTTTTGTTTGCCTGCCCCAAACTGGAGGCTCAGAGTGGAACTGACTGGAACTCAGAGCCTGCCTCCAGCATCTGCTGCTGCTTTAATTAAACCACTTCTCCCTCACAACTTTATTTGACACATTTTTCCGTGATTTGAGGGATATTTTCATACAAGTGGAAAGAATTCCCGGGCAGTGGCATTGCAGGGGCCGTTTGCTGGGTTTTCTCAGAGCACGGTCACGCTCCAGGGTTTTCTGTGCAAACCTGAGTGTTCCAGTTGGGAAGGGTGATGTGAGCAGGAAAAAACCATCCAGGGAAGCTGAACCCACTGTGCCCAGCACTGCACAGCTGCACATCTGGCCACAGCTGCACATCTGGCCACAGCTGCCTCCACTACATGATGATACCCAAACAAGCACAGTGAGACTGAAGGTGCTGGTTCCCCAAGTACCCCATGTTTTGCTGGAGAAATCCAGAAGCAGAAGGATCACAAGTAAAGGACAGTGCCAACCATCCCAGCCCTCTGCTCCAGCCCTGAACTCGAGCTCTCGTGTCGGTGGTGACGGGCTGCTGCCGTTCACATGTAAGTGTGCTGTGGTCTGTCATCTCCTAATTGTCTCTGGAATATGCAGCTCCCTTTCTTGTGGTGTGCAGAGATTCTGCCGCCTCCGCCCCGTGGAATAAAACATGGGACAAACTGAAATCAGGAGTTCTCGGCAGCACCAGCCCCAGAAGGTGCAGCAGTTTTTGAGGAAAGGATAAAATGGATCACCATAGGGAGGAATCTCTTCTTTAAAAGGAATTTCCAGCCTTTTCCAGGTTTACCTGCTGGGGTGGCTGTACCAGGCAGAGCGTTCCCGTGGGATCCAGGCAGGCAGGGCTGCCCTGCTCCTGCTGCCTGCACCCAGCACTGCAAACCTGCTTTGCATTAAACTCCTGAGCAACTGTTTGCCATAATGTGCAGTGTTGGAATTCATCTGCCAAAAGTGGGGGTCTCTGTTCATGAAACCTGATCCACAGGAGGACGTGGGGCAGTTCCTGAAGCTCTGGGGAGCAGAACTGGCAGGATCTGTGTCGAGTTTGATGGTGCCCCTGTGATCAAGAAAATGTGGGAAAGTAGATGCAGACCAGACAGGGCAAGTAAAAGCCTCTCACTGCATGGTTGTCCAGTAGTGTTTCTGAAATAACAACAGAGCAGGACCAAAACTCTGTCTCTCTCCTTTCAGGACTGGTGGCTTTTGTTCTTTACACATTTGTGTCTGTACATGTGTATATAAATCAGACCTTCCTACAGCTCTGTATTGATCCATTAAGCCAGTTGTGCAGAATGATGAAAGCTCAGAACAGAGCAGAGGCTCAGAAGTGACTCCTCTGTTGGTGTTTGTGGTTGCCCTATTCTACCCACAGTTGTCAGGTTGCCTTGTGACATGGTCTGTTGGGAGGGATTAGGGATAACTGATCCAAGCAGTGTTTCTCTGCAGTTTGGGATGATATTCTCTCATTTTCTGGAGGGATGCTGCTAAAATATAAAATATTGCCACTAAATACAAGGAATAGGCCAGGAATGAAGGGAACTGGAGACAGCAAGCCTTTTCCATCCATCCATCCATCCATCCATCCATCCATCCATCCATCCATCTATCCATCCATCCATCCATCCCCCTTTTCTCTGGAGCTCCCTGCCCTCAGAGGCTGCAGGAGGCTCCCGGCTCTGTGCTGGGACAAGCATGGAGCTGGGCTGTAGGAAGCTGCTGGCAGCCCCAGCAAGAAGTTTTAGAGAGAGAAAGAGCCTTTTGCAGTGATTTTTTCTAGTTAAGGTCCATCAAAGCATGGATCTAATTTTTTTAATGTTTTCTGATCCCCACAAAGCCCACACAGGCTCCGATGATGAATCGGCGGCACTGCCTGGAGTGGGATGCTCCAGAATTCCCCCAAAATGTGCTGGCGTGGACAAGGCAGCTTTCCAGGGCTAGCTGGTACCTGGGCTTGTGACTCAGGAGAGCACAAAACCAGCTTAAAACCACCTCAGAACCTGTGTCTGGTTCAGTTCTCACACCATCTCTCCATCACTGCTGGTGCTCCGGGTGCTCCGCTGGGCAGGATTCCTTTGTTGCGTCTTTGTGGTTCGGATACAGCAAGTCACTGCTGAGGGAGGGAGGAGAGGAGCAGCCACTTCTATTGAAAGTGAAACAGAACAAAAAGGGGCCTTGCACGTCCTGGAATTACCTCTGTGTTTATCAGAACCACATGGGCAGGAGGCAGGGAGCACATCTCGGGTCCTCCTCCAGCGTTTCAGTGCAGGGATGCAGGCCAGGCCAAGGCAAGGGATTCAGTGGGAGCCAATTGCTTTTGTTGGCCTGTGGAGTGGAGAGATGGTCTGTATTAACACACAACATGTTTCTGGAAGTTGTCTGAGGTTAGGATAAATCAGTTTGGGATTACATGATGGATCCCTATTTATATTAGGAGAACTTCAAATGAAGAAATCTCAAATACGGCAGCGATGCAACGAACAGAAGGACTGTGCCAGGGGGTTTGTGTGGGCTTGAACCGTGTGTGCAGAGGGTCAGTGTCCATGTGTGCTTGCTGGGGCTTTTCATTTTGCAGACAACTTCCACATTTTAGAGAATTTGACCTATTCTTTGCCCAGTCACACATTTTTCAGCCATTTCTTGGAAGTGATGGGTTTGTGTGATGCTGCAAAAGGGAACATCCTGCTCAGTTCTAGTTACAGCTGCCTGCAGTTATTCTTGGGGTATCAACTCACTGCTTCTGGTGGCAAATCACTTGGGTCTGAAGGAAAGGGGATACAGATGGGAGAGAGAAGAAGTCAGAAGGGCAGCTGGAGGGTGCAGAGATCAGGTATTAAATCAACTCCTGTGTTAGGTGGCTACTGCACAGACCCACTTCCCCACATGCAGTCAGTAGTAACAACGTCTTTTTCATCCCTCTTTATCCATTTCCCAGCCCTGAGAGGGTCAGAATCCCAGAGCAGCATCTTTCAGCAGCACTCCACTCCCCTCAGACAGAGGAGATGGAAGGAGTGTCCCTCTCGCAGACGCTGAAATATCATCTGTGGAAAATCTGTCTGAGCTGTAATTACAAAAATGTGTGCGATGTACAAGATGACACTGGATTTGGCAGCATAGTCACAGAAACGTTAAGCTCAGCAAAGCATCTGGGAATGGAAATATTTTTAGAGTGGTTCTGTAAACAGAAAAAAACCCGAGCAGTAATTAAAACAAGGCCAGCAGCGAGGTCTGCTGGCTGTGACTCTGAGGAGCCAGCTAAGGAGACCCAGAATGTAAGGCCCTAGCTTTGATGGAAAGACACCCAAAACAATTTTAGTTGTTTTGTCTTGTTATTTCTGCCTCTTATTGAATTAGTTCACATCTCAGCACAACTGGGGTGGTGCAGGAGCCCCCTGCCCATCAGTGTCACTGCGATGGCTCAGTGTGACAGCACAGGACTCGTGGCTTGGCTGCACATCGTGCCCGTGCCACTGGCTCTGTATGGCTCACGTAGAGCCAGTGGTGCCAACTGTCTCTTGACAGAGGAGAACCTCTGGTTCCCATTTTCCCAGTGGTCTGGAGTGGCCCCACCATGGCTGGGACAGCACTGGCCCCTTCACTCTCCAGGGAAGGCTTGGGGGGTTTGTTCCTCTTTAGGAGTGGGTCTGTCAGCAAAGAGGTGACACAGAAAGAAACACGGGAGGGAGGAAAACACTCTGTGAGACCTCTGCACTCTCACTGCTTCACCTTTTGTGTTCTCTCAGCAATCTGCACAAAGCTCTCCAGCATTACAGTGGTTCTCTCTGCTGAAATCTTGTGTGGAAGAAGAATCCAGACTTTAGTTTTTTCCACTCTGAAAAGCTGTGTGTTAGAGGCTGTTATTTAGACTTCAAATTCATCTGAATAACTGCATCCTGGGAGGTTATTTTAGATGTAAGATGCATTGGCTTGTTCTACGTTGGCCCAGTGTTTTTCCCAGATGAAGGAATGTTTTGGCAGGCATCAACGTTGTTTTACTTCTTTTTTTTTTAAAAAAGGCACTCTAACAAGCACATTATTTATGGCTATTTTTGAATATATGTTATTAAACACTTTAATATATTGGAATATTTTTAAATGACCACCCATCTCTGCTAGAGCTTGAGTAGTGTAACTCTGACCCAGAACTTTTCAGGAACGTCCAGTGTTTCTGTTGTTTCCTTCCAAATGGATTAAGGGAAACAATGTCAGCACAACTGACAGAAACCCCGAGTTCTTGCTCCAGCCATAGGTTGTGTATGGCAAAACCTTGACCCTATGAAGTTGCTTTTATTCCCCCAAATGTTGTTCAGTTAATTAGAAGCATAAAATGGGAAGTTGGGGTTTTATAATGTTTGAAATGAGAGCGCTCTGCAGCTCCAAGTTAAGGCGTAATTTCTTGCAGGGGAACTGTGTGCAGAAAAAAGAAAATAGACATTTTTGCCCTTTATTTTCCTCCTGAGCCAAATATTTGTTTTCACTAATGTACAAGAGCACAGACCCAACTTGCCTTGGGAATCAGAGGTGCTTTACAAGCAGAGACTTTTTCTGGCAGCTACTTTCCAGGCTTGCCTGCTTCCAAAGCTCCGGAGGTTGCGGAGGGCACCGTGAGCACCTGAAGGATCAGCCTGGGAAAGATGGTTTTCATTAGAGATATTTTTAGCTTTCTCATAAGATTCCTCAGAGCCAGCACATTAGTTTATACTGGAGTTTAAAAAATAGGTTAGAAATATGTGAGCCCACAACTCATTGTACTGTTCTGCCGATGGAAACCGGGGCTGGACTTCCATCCCAGACCGGGGCCGGGTTTAGCCCTGTCCCACGCACCCAGCTGTGGTGGGCAGCATGTTGTGACAGATTGGTGGCTCCTAAGAGACAGAACAGATTTAAAGGACAAATTCCCGATTCCCACAAGGGGCACTTCTCTTTGGAGCTGTCGCTGAGATGCTCAGTGGATAAGGAATAGCTGGATTAACTCAGGAGACAGTCAGTGGTCCAAGAGGAGATTTTCATCACTGTGGAGGTGTGTAATTACCCCACGATGACTTATCTGGCAGTCCATGGATCCTGCTGCAGCAAAACAAGCAGGCAGGCTCAGCCCACTGGCTCACTGAAAGGTGCACCCATCCCAGTTAAACATCCCGCTCCTCTGCTTATCCTGCAGAGACATCCCAGACTACAGGAACAGGGAGGGGGAGGAGAAGGCTGTTTCCAGGCCTGATTAATGATAGCAGGCTTGTAAGGAGTCCACGTGTTGGGTCATGAGGTCTGTTTTGTGCTGTAGCTCAGGCAAAACCTTCTGTTTTCTGACTGCTTGAAATCCTCTGGGCTCCTTGCGCAAGGCCACACAGAAACGCTGTGGCACGGCCAGGAACACCAGTTGGGAATTCAGTTCCCTGCCTGCACTTGGGATGAAATCAGAGCTCTGGCTGGTGTATGTCTGGGTGCTCTGGCTGGGTGACACTGCTGGTCAAGCCCACATGTCCCAGATTTCACACAGAACATCCGGGTCAGAGCCCCGAGTTGAGGGTTGTTATGGGACTTCTGCTCATCACAGAGCCAGAAACTCAGTTTTCCATATAATTTTATCAAAGGAAAACCTGAATATGCCTGAGCACAGCTCCCTGGGCAGTAATGACTTGAACTGGCTGTGGCACTGCACCTGCAGTGACTGCCTTGGAACAGAGTGATGGGAATTCCAGCAATAATGTGCTGACATGAGAAACCTGCTCGCTGACACGGGGCCCTTTGGAGAGGGTGGGTGCCTGGCAGGAAACGTGCTGAGTCCTGGCTTCCCTGCCAGGTAATGCTGCACAGGACCTAGACCAGACCCCTGTGTCCTGGTCTCACCTTCCAGGAGAGCAGTGGGACCTCTTATGGTGGAAAAGAATTATTTGAAGTTCCTGCCCAACGCTGTTGAGCTGATCTTGCCTTGAAAGAACAGGGTCCCCATCCTCAGGGTCTCTCTGGAACAGGGCTGAGTGGCCTCTCCTGCACTGCCCACAGGTTTTTGCAGCAACACCTCCCACTTCTCATTTGTGAGGCTGGCCATGAACTTGTAGCTTGAGCACAGGCTGAGTGTGCCCCAGTTTTAAATTCTCTACATCCTAACAGTGTGCAGTTTGCCCTGGTCCTGCGCAGGAGGCTCATCTGGGTGCTGCTCTCTTTGTGACAAACGTTGTGTCCCTCTGCCCCGCAGCTGTGAACTCCTGTGCCCTGAACAACGGTGGCTGTGAGCACGACTGCGTGCAGGTGACGCTGGCACAGCACCGCTGCCAGTGCCGCCACAACTTCCAGCTGCAGGAGGACGGGAAGCGCTGCGTCCGTGAGTGCCGGGGGCACGGGGGGCAGGGGGGCAGAGCTGCCATCTGGGAGCTGAGGGGCAGGGAGCACACACCGGCACGCTCAGATGTCCAGCAGATCAGACTGGGGGGGTTTCCAGTAAAAACTCTGTGTGTTTTGTTGTCATGGACATATCCTGCAGCTTATTCCAAGGGATAGGAAGAGCTGGAGGAGTGCGGCCAACAAAAATGAAATTATCTGAAGGCACAGGCTGCTGTGAGAGTGGAGGATCAGCAGCGTGTGGCAGCAGGATGGGATCCTCTCCCTCAGCCTGGAGACAGCTCTTTGGCTGACCTGCTCCTGGCTCAGGAGGGAGAGAAGCCAAAGGGGACAGAGCACAAGGTTGATCTCCTCATTCATAGCAGCTGTCATTCAAGAGGCAGGAGGGGGGAAGTCTTTAGCTGTGAAGTTGCTAAGGGAAAAGGAACAACTGGGATATTACAAACACAGAAGTTGGAGGGGTTTGGAGCATCTGTCCCGGTCCTGGAGCAGGTCAGAGGTTGGCAAAGCTCAGGGTAGGAGCACTCGGAGCAAATTGCCAGCACTTGCTGCGTAATGTCTGCAGAGGGACGTGCCTGTGCCAAGGTTCTGCTGGGAGGGTTTTACAGGATCTCTCACCGTGTAAATCCTCCTGCCCCATGGAGCAGTTAAGGGGCAGGAGCAGGGATTCTCTGCCTGGTGCAGAACAGGCTCTCACAGACAGCAGCTCCTCTGCCGGGCACAGCTGCTCGGGGCTCCGTTCTCCCACAGAGCCATGAGAGCCAGGGGGTGTGTGTGGACTGATGCTGCCTGTCTGCTCTGCTCTGCCCTGCAGTGAGGAACCCCTGTGCCGACGGGAACGGGGGCTGCCAGCACCGCTGCAACGGCCAACGCGGCCGCTGCCGGATGCGAGTGCCACCCGGCTACCGCTGGCCCGACGGCAAGGCCTGCGAGGCGTGAGTGCCTGCCCTCCTGCCCTCCTGCCCTCCTGCCCTCCTGTCCTCCTGCCAGGGAAGGAAACTCCTGTGTCGCAGGGGCTGGGGGGTGTTCAGTGTGAACACGGCAGAGGGATGCACACGGCAGGGATCGCTCAGTTGGGGTCCATCCAGGAGCCCGGCTCGAGCTCTCTGCAGCAGCCCCCAGTTTCATGTGATCCAATTTCCTGGGGAGCTCTACAGCAATTGTGAATTCTTAACTGTGTCTTTGTTGGTCTGGACCCCAGTGAAGAATTCAGGGTGCGAGAAACCAGTTAAAAAACCTTAAAAGTTAGTAACAGCAGTCCCTTTGGAAGAATGTTTATGGCTCAGCCTGCCTTGCTCACTGTTTGCTCACCTCTCACAGATGTGAACGAGTGCCTGACTGGCCTGGCCATGTGTTCACACCAGTGCCTGAACACACGGGGCTCCTTCAAGTGCACCTGTAACCCGGGCTACGAGCTGGGGGCGGATGGCAAGCAGTGCTACCGTGAGTACTGCGGGACACGGGGCAGCCTCTGCACATGTTTGTCACTGTCCTCCCTGCACTGTCAGGGCCAAGTCAGAGCAATCTTTGCTGAAGAGTTTCACAGGCAACTTTGGGGCTGTTTACTCCCCCACCAAGATAAAAAACTTGGTCTGAGCTTAAAAGTCGTCATGAAGCTACTTTAGCCGGTTTAGGCAATTGATTTGGGGCCATTTGGCTCCAAACAGGCCAAGTTCTGCTCTTGGGGACTTCGTTGGATGAGTTCAGTCAGCTGCAGATGTGTCACTGGAGGAGGAATTGGGCCAGTGAAGGGATCACATCTGTTCCCATCAAGGAAAGAAATAAACACTGTGATGCAAGAGTGAGCCAGGCTGTCCGTGCAGCTTCGTTCAGCTGGTGCACGTTCAGGACAGGCTGAACCAGAGCTATCAGCACCAGCAGCCCCTTATAGATGTACACCACAGGGGCAGTCCCAGTGCTGGCAACTGGTGTTACTGGGAGCTCTGATGCTCCACCTGTGCAGCTGGACCTTGCCAAGGGTACAAGGCTAAGTCTTCGCAGACCATAAATGAGTCTTGAAAGGCATCACACAGAGCACTGTGAGGAACCAGGCTGATGAGATGGTATTTAAGAGCCTAAAGATGTACACAACTCCCTTCCTAGGAACATGGCTGGTCTCACACCATGATCATTGACACTGCTCTGGGGCCAACTACAGAACAAAGCAGCCTTCCCACATGAGAAGTGTTTCTCCCTGCCCTTTCTGCATGTTTCTTTTGTGCAAAACCTTGCTTGTGCTGCATTAATAAGAAAGGGAAAGAAAGGGTGATAATCATTTTGTGAACTCTGGAATATAGTCCTCCACTGTGGCACATCTTTTGTTTCTGACAAGCACAGATCCATTGGGAAGCATCAAGCTGCCTTTCTTTATCCTCCTTGGGTCTGAACACATGAAAAACTCAATGTTCTTGAAGGCAGAAATTGTTTTCCTGAGGTTCAGGACTGAGTCAAACTCCGTGAAACAAGTTCCTTTTAGTTTAAGAAAGCTTAATTAACTAGACAAGTTTACGGAACCCTTGCCAAGCTGGGATGATCTATGGCTGCGATTGATGTTCGTGCCGACCATTTTTGACATGTCAGGAACTAACGATTCTCGCTGTAGGCATCTGGATGTTTCCCCAGTTAGCTGTGTTCTGCTGCTCCCATTTCTCCCTGGCACCAGAACAGCTCTGCTCTGAGGCTGAGCCAACTTTTGGTTGGCAGCACACGCTGCAGCTTGGCAGGAGCGGGAGCAGTTTCATCCGCAGCCTGTTCATCCCAGAGATTGTCCAGAGCCTGCTCCACAGCTCCGTCCCTAAGAGGCTGCGTGAGATCCCTCGGTTTCTTTTTATACCCCGTTTCCCAGCCCAGCAGTGGCCTCTGTGCAGAGCTATTTCCATCCTTTCCCACTGCAGATCCCCCTCCTCAGCAGCGATGCGGTGCCAGGAGCTGGCTGGGGCGCGGCACCGAGGGCAGGCACAGGCCAGATGTGTCACACGGGGTCCTAACCAGTCTGCCTTTTCCAGGGATAGAGATGGAGATTGTGAACAGCTGCGAAGCCAACAACGGGGGCTGTTCCCATGTGTGCCACCACACCAGCTCTGGCCCAGTGTGCACCTGTAACTTCGGCTTTCGGCTGGAGGAGGACCAGAAGTCGTGCACTGGTAAGGCAGGGAAAGGTCCAGACCTTGAGTTACAGGCACATCTCAGGTAACTCTGAGGGTCTCTCTTGGCTGCACTAGCACACTAGCTAGGATAGAAAGAGATGTGAAGGGAGACATCCTCAAACCTCCACTCAAGATATACTTGGACAGCAATTATGATTTCCAAACGAATTAGTTTTTCCCTGATGAAACTGCTCTAAGCAAGAGTCAGTGTTACAGCTGGGATCACCTTGTGTGTAAGCCCAAAAAGCCTGTAAAAACAGTCTCAAACTGGGAACCACAGTGAACTTCCCACAGGCCTTGAGGATTCATGATTCAAGAGGAACTCAGGAATACTGGCTTGGCATTTGGCTCAGTAAAAGCTCACCAGAACTGGTCAGGGAGTAATTTAACAGTTCCTGTCACCACTGTACAGTGTATTAACACCCTTTGTGTTTTATTTAGATATCAATGAGTGTGACACTGGTTCTCACTGTTGTCACCAAGACTGTTACAACTACCCTGGGGGCTACGAGTGCTCCTGCCATGCTGGGTACAGGCTGAGCACGGATGGCTGTGGGTGTGATGGTGAGTACCAGCCTCTCACTGGGCTCCAAGCAAATCCTCTCTGCTGAGACACTGACTAATGAAGCTTTTAATTAAAAGAACAAGAAATTGTCCTACCTGGTTGCGAGCAGCCAGGCATTTCTTCCAGCTTCTCCCAACCCATACCAGTTTCCCTGCCAGCTCTCTGATGAGTCACTTTCTTAGGGGAAGAATGTAGGGAAAAATCCCCCTAATAAGTTGTTCTCACTACCAGAGCTCTCAAGGACATTTCACAGGGGAAGAGCCAAACTCACCCCCGTTTCAACACAATTAGTGTAGATGGCAACTGAAATGGAGCACATTTTATGTTGAAACCCAGATATCCCTAATCCCTGAAGTGGTTTCACTCCATTTTTAGAGTCGATGGCTTCACATACTTAGCAGAGAGGATGCCATCAGCCTGCTCACTGCTGCATGGCCAGCTGCATGTCCGTGCCCCTGTCCTGGACAGGGGACTGCTCCCGTTACCCCGGAGTCTCCCATGTTTTGTAGATGTGGATGAGTGCTCTTCAAACAACGGAGGGTGTGAGCACACGTGCCAGAACCAGCCAGGGTCGTTCCAGTGTGGCTGTGAGATTGGACACAAGCTGGACGAAGACCGAAGGAGCTGCATCTGTAAGTGCCTTGTCCGTGGGGCCACGGGCACCTCCCCTCTGCCACCTGGCCGAGCCAGGACCGCATGGCCTGGAGCTCCTTAGCCCTGCACCTCCCCTCTTCCAGCCCTGGAGGACACTGTGGAAGCTCTGGATGGTCGGCGCCCCGTTATCCGCCCGATCCCTCACGTCGCCATCCTGCGAGATGAATTCACCCAGCTCTTCGACGACGACTACGAGGAGGAGGAGGAGGAAGAGATGGAAGCAAGAGGGGAGCACACGCTTTCAGAGAAATTCGGTGGGCATTTTTGGGCAGCAGGGGCCAATGCCATGCTTGGAACTCTTCAGAGTTCATTTGTGTTGGGTGAACACACCCCCAGACCTGTCGAGTGCCTTTCCTGTGTTTGGCTTTGCTGCAGCCGGAACACGGGGGTTTCTCTGCCTGGACTCCCAGGGATGCTGAGGCTGCCTCCGGAGGTTCTCACCCATGGTGCCTCTCGTTGCAGTTTGCCTGGAGCGCACGTTTGGCCCCGACTGCAGCCTGACCTGCGAGGACTGCGCCAACGGAGCCACCTGCAACGCTGAGGGCACTGGCTGTGACTGCCCGGCGGGCTGGACGGGCACCCTCTGCAACCAGAGTGAGTGGTGTTGGTGGAGCGGCGAGGGAACCGCATTCCCCCTGCCCCGGGTGTGCCGTGGGGGCAGCCCTGGGGGACTGGAGCAGCCCTGGGGGGCTGGAGCAGCCCTGGGGGGCTGCAGCCTCTGGCTGAGCCCCGTGTGCCTCTCCCTGCCCAGCTTGCCCGGCCGGCACCTTCGGCAGCAACTGCAGCCAGAGCTGCCGCTGCCAGAACGGCGGCTCCTGCGACCCCACCACCGGCGCCTGCCGCTGCCCGCCCGGCGTGGCCGGGGAGCTCTGCCAGGACGGTAAGCACAGCGCTCGGGGGGGGTCTCACCTCGCTGCCAAAAGGCAGGATGGCACCTCTGTGGGGCCCCGAAGTCACACACCAAACCCGGGACCCTCCCCGGCAGTTTTCTTTTCTCCCTGAAATGCTTTTCCATAAGGAAAAGTTCCCGGGGTGCCAGCTGTGAGTGCTGCTCCCCAGCTGGTGGAGGTGGTTCTTTTCTGGTTCTCTCAGTGTGTTAGCAGAGGGTTTGCCATCACTTGGTAAATGGCTGTTCTGACCATCTCTGATGCCACTCTCAGATGTCCCAGCTGTGCTTCTCTGAAGCCTGAAAGCGTTTCCCACAGGATGCCCTACGCTGGTCCCCTTGTAGCTGTTCACTGACAGCATCTTTCAACACTCTTGTTGAACCATCCCAGTGTGAGCTACTCCAACACATCCCTGCTCCATGTGACTCTGTGGGTCACTGAGTTTTGTGTGGAAAAATGTCATTTTAGTAAGGAAAAAGTGGTAAAGGAGACTCTTCACCCTCAGAGCAGTGCTCTGGGGAGTGTGCTTGTCTTTACACTGGAAGACCTTTGCGGTCCCTGTTCACTACTCAGTGGTGACTGGGGGCCAACATCTGTATTTCATGGGACATTCAGGGGCAGACATAGAAAAGAATGTCAAAACCACAATTTCCATGGTAAATTTCCATGGAAACCATGGAGGTATTTTCCCCTGGAAACCATGGAGGTATTTTCCCCTGAAGAAAACCCAAAGCCCTGAAAAGCTGTGATGACAGTAGTTACCCACAGTACCCAAAGGAGGTGTCACTGCTGGTGGGGTTTGTTTCTCGCTCCCAAAGGGTTAAAATCTGGGGGACATAATCTAAAAACCCAGAAAGAGGGAGGCAATCAGAGATGCAGACAAAAGGACTTCAGTCACATGTTGGAAGCATATGGGAACTATTACTGAAGGAGAGGGAAGCAGAATGTAAATGAACACGAGGTACCCCGACCTTTCCTTTCTGAAGGAAGGGGGTGATTGAGGGGGACAGAGAGAAAACAGGAAGGTAAAATTAAAATAAACGATGCAGAATTGCTCTGTTGTCCCAGGGTGGCATTTCCTCTGCTCTTCTGTTTGTAGGGAGAAGGCACATGCTGCTGGGCAGCTGCTGGCCAGAGTCTTCTGCTGACACAGCCTGTCTGCCATGTGCTTCCAATATCCAGATCTTTTGCATAACAGAGAAAAAATAATAATTTTATTCCCTTAATAGTGCAAATATCACTGTGGCTTATCAATAGGAGCAGCCTCATGGGTTACTTTCTCACACAGAAAAGCCTTGACCCCTCTGAGCCCTGTGGGTGGGTTATTTCTGGCCCAGCAGCACAGTAACTGGTGAGTGCAGAGCTGATGGGTGCCCTGGAAGCAATGTAGGGACTGGCAGCAAGTGGCATCCCCTGTGACACTGCACAGGGCCAGCTGATTTTGAGCAGATACAGGGAATCTGGTGGTCTCACCCTGCCTGCATCCCTTGCCCTGGTGCATCTCTGGCCTCACACAGCTCTGGTTCTGGTGTGTTTTTCTACTGGAAGCCAAATGTCCATCTGAAACTGGCTCATCTTCCCAGGAAATCTCTCTCTATTACTAGGGTGCCCTAAAGGATTTTTTGGGAAACAATGCAGGAAAAAGTGCAACTGTGCCAACCGGGGCCGCTGCCACCGGATTTACGGAGCCTGCCTGTGCGATCCGGGCTTGTACGGCCGGTACTGCCACTTGGGTATGCCTGTCCTCATCCTCGCTGTCCTGGGATCCCAGCCTTCCTGGGCACTGTCCCTGGGAAGGGCTGGTCCTGGGAGATGGTTTCTGTGCCTTGCCCTGGGTCTCTGACCGGCTTTTCCCTCCCTCCAGCCTGCCCCAAGTGGGCGTTCGGCGCGGGCTGCTCGGAGGAGTGTCGGTGTGTGCAGCCCCACACGCGGGACTGCGACAGGAGGGACGGCTCCTGCCACTGCAAGCCCGGCTATCATGGCGAGCGCTGTGAGGCCAGTGAGTGCCCCGGGGTGTTCCTGGAGCATCCCCCTTCCTCCTCCCACAGCCTCTTTCTCCCGCATTTATTTTTTTGGGGGAAAAGCTCTGCTTGCTTTCCGCCCTCCCGGGCTGTCTCACCTCTCGTTCCCTTGGGAGCACACCTTGCTCACACTTGGTCACGTTCAGCTGTCACCAGGACCTGTGTGGGGTGGGGACACCTGTAACTGCTGGTGGTGGAGCTCAGGAGGGTGCTCAGCAACTGGGGCTGCAGCTCTGCCGGGGCAAGGAGTAATTCCAGACCTTTCTCTTGAACTGTGGCTGCTCGCAGGCTGTGACCCTGGCTACTATGGGGATGGCTGCAAGAAGAAGTGTGGCTGCTCCCCAGGAGTGTCCTGTGACCCTGTCACTGGAGAGTGCCAGAAGGAGTGTCCCCCAGGGTACCACGGGGAGAACTGTGACCAAGGTAAGGCAGGGCCATGCAGGGCAGCTCTGCACGTGCTGCAAACTCACCGTTCTCGCTCATGTTTTTCTTCACAAAACAACTCAAAGGCACTTCCAGAATCCCCTGAGAGCCCCAGTCCACAGCAGATGATCTGGTGAGTGGCAGGTTGAGGCTTTAGAGGCCATGGGAGCTGCCATCTGCAGGTGTCTGGGAGATGCTGCTGTCTCCTTAAAGCAGGGGGGAAGGATTCCTCATGCAAAATGACCCTGATTCAGAAAAGGAGAACAGGGTCTCACTTCATCCTGCTGCTTGGACATCTCTGTGTTGGTAGATGAAGGTGATAGGGATCTGATTATCTTTCCCTGCTCTTGATGTCTTTTCCCTTCCAGACAATCTGTGCTCAGCACAACTCTATCACATTTTCTGCTTCGTTCTCTGTTACATGTTGAAACTCTGATCTGCAAGTGCAAAAGAGGATTTTACATTTAATTAACATTAGGATTTAAACTTCTGCCTCTGTATGAACCTGCCAGAGCAGTTTTGTGCTCTTCACATGCAGGGCCACTTGACAGGATGGTGACTGAACTGCCCAGCTCTGTGTGTGTCTGACAGTGTCCAACACTCAGGCTCTGAGGGTGCAGATTTCAAGATCCTGGGGATGGTTGGGGTGGTTGGGGTTTTAGAGTGCTTGACTTTGTTCAGACAAAGGTGCTTTGAGTGAACCTAAAGGCAGTGAGTCATTGGCACGAGGTGATTACAAAACATGAACACAGTGCTTGGAAAAGAATGACTTCTGCCAACCACAGAGAGGAGCAGAGATTGAAAAATCAACCTCCTCCTTCTCTTGTGGGGCTGGATCCTCCTGAATCCACTTCAGCTGGTTGGGTCCCACAGAAAATGCAAAAAGTTGGACTCTTGAAGTCCACACTTGAAGACAGACTGCAGTAGAAGACACTGCATGGAGAGGCTGGCGGTGGCCAGAATCTGGATTTGGATTCAAGCATTTTGGGAGTTGCTGCACTAACTGCTGTTTAGCCAAACACTCCATCACCCCAGCCCAGAAATTAAAACTGTGAGCCTGCCAGCACAGGGTGATGGTGCAGAGCCCCATCTCTGACAGAACATGGGCTGTTGGTCAGAACGAGAGCTGCAGACAGTCACAAAAATCCCAATGCAAGTGCTACCAGAGCTCCATAGGAGGAGAGAAGGCAGCAGCTCCTGCAGGGCTGTGTCCCTGGCAGGGTCTGGCAGCCCTGAGCCCCCTGTGGTGGGACACTGTGGCCCCTGGAGCCCCCGGAGCCCCCGGAGCCCCCGGCGCCTTGGCGGGCTGGGCGCTCCCGCTTGGGATATTTTTAAAAAGAGTAAGAAAGGAGCTAAAGCCTGTAGGGGGGAGTCACAGGAAATAACACAAATATTTGTATAGAAATAGTAGGCTGTTGGCTGTTGTTGGGATCTGGAAATTATTAAAGGGTGAAGACAAACATCTGCCATCAATTAGCAAAGAGGAGGAATAACAAAACCTCCACTGTGTCACTGGAAGTCGAGGCGCTGGTGTGTGTTTCCTCCCCGGTTTGTGCCGGTGTGTTTGCCTCTGCTGAAGCCTTACAGAACACTGGCTTTGGTGAGAGTGGAGCTCTTGGGGGAGCCTCAGAGAGGATTGAAGGATCTTTGGGTCTGAGCCCCTCGGTCTGCACGTCACTACCTGGCTGCTAAATTGTGTCACGGGACACAAGAGGGAAGGAAAAGTACCTATTCCTCATGTGGATGAGGATGCTCCTTCTTCTTTCCTTTACATCAGTGTCCTGCTGCAAACCTGGCTGCTTCTTAAAATCCTGGTGCCCAGATCCTGTAGACATTCAGGTGGGGAGGTAAAAGCCCTCACAGGATCTTACAAAAGTCAGAGGTGGTTCAGTTTGGGGCTCCCCTCTCCATGTTCTGCACCCCAGCCCAGAGAGAACAGAGTGGCTTGGGAAATCATTATTTTGCAGAGTCCTGTCCACAGATTGGAGACCTCCAAGACTGTCAAGTCCAGCCTTTGACTGAGCACCACCATGCCCACTAAATCACGGGCACAGTCCTCCCTGGCAGCGTGGGAACCTCTCACAGCCAGGCTATTCCCTGCAGACTCCTTCGAGCTGTGGGGCCGGGTTGGTAAAAACCTCTGGGGTATCTTGGGGGGGCAGTTCTCACCCTACTGTTCTCCCTGCAGAGTGCCCCCAGGGGACGTTTGGGGCGGGCTGCAGGTGGCCCTGTGCCTGTGGAGGAGCTCCCTGTGACCCGAGCACGGGGCAGTGCCACTGCCCGCCCGGCTGGATGGGACACGACTGCGGCCAAGGTGAGCAGAGCGGACGTGCTGAGGGAGGGAGTCGGGTGTAGAGCTGATATTTTGCTTTTGCTAAAGTTAGTTTCAAAAATACGCAGTGCAATTAGAATAATCTTCATGGAAAATTAGAGAAAGTGCAGCTTTTGGTGGTAAGTTCTAAACAACAGCCTGGGCCAGCTCTGCTCCGCTGTCGAAGCTGAGGGAAGCACAATGAAAAGGATGAAGATATTTTCAGTTGTTGCAGTCCTTAACATAGGAGAGGAATCTCCCTTTACCAATGTGTGTTTTTAATTGCCTTCACCAGATTACTCCTTAGCTGCTGGAAAACTAGAGAATCCGAAATTAAAAGCTTTTTCATGATTGTACATTATTGCAGCAGCTGGAAGGCATTAGTCACATATAGATGTCCTACTCCGAAGGGTTTGGCTGAGCAGTAAAACCACACATGCACAGTACTTACCATACATTTCGAGCTGCCTTTTTTTCCAGGCCCTGGAGCAGCTTAGGAGCAGTTGGAGAAGGATTCTTGCCCTGGTTTTAGCAGTTCTTAGCCTTTTGCTCCTCCTGTGCAGCTCACAGCAGGTCTGGGAGCGCTGACGTGCTGTCCATGGTGTGACAGCAGCTGCAGGGACCCTGTGCCAGCAACACCATTTCCCAGAGAGAAGCCCTTGGAGCTCCCCACGAGTGGATGCAAATCCAAAATTGGCATGGAAGTCCTGGAGTGAGCTCAGAATAGCACTTACCAAGGGCTTGCACACTGTTCATGGAACAAGCAAAGCCACGCTGCGCTCGCTGGTAGCCACGTGTTGCTGAACAAAAGTCCATGTCTTGCGTGAAGGAGAAAGGAAACCCAGAAAACCCAGAAAACAGCCCCCACCTGGGCTCTGATCCTAATGCTCCCCTCTCTCTGCCCGTGCTCCAGCCTGCCCTGGGGGTCGCTGGGGGCCGGGCTGCCAGGAGATCTGCCCCAACTGCGCCAACGACGCCCGCTGTGACCCCGCCACAGGAGCCTGTGTGTGCCCGCCCGGCTACACTGGCCAGCGCTGCCAGGATGGTGAGTGTGGGCTGCAGCAGGTCCCTCAGCTGGGATGGCCATCTCCAGCTGCAATGAGGGCTATTTCGGTGGACCTGCTCCAGCGAGCAGAGCACCCAGCAATAGACTAGACACTGCCACGCTCAGCAGAGCAGGCTGAGCACTGGGCACATCTCTGTCACCTCATTCCTTGGAGCATGGGCCCCAAGGCTTCCCTTAAAGTCCCTCTAGTCCCATCTCCACAGGGGTTCTTTCTACGTCAGCAGAAAGGGAGGCAGATGAGTCCCCTGTCCTGTCCAGCCCAGAGCTGAGCACCCGTGCTCAGAGTGCCAGTGTCAGTGCCTGCGGCTCTGCCCGAGCACCACGGTGCCCTCAGGTCTGTCAGGATGGGGTTCCAGCAGCCATCTGCACTCAGTCCCTGTTTCCCTTGGCAGTGTGTCCTCCAGGCTGGTTCGGCTTCGACTGCCAGCTGAGCTGCAGCTGTGGGAACGAGGGACATTGTCATCCTGTGACGGGGATGTGCAGCTGCCCACCTGGCTGGATGGGGCACAACTGTCAGAGAGGTACAGCATCACTCCTGGACCACACTGACCTGCTGTGCCAATCTGTGTTGTCATTGCTCCATTCTCATCCTTGTGCTCTGCCTCTGCCAGGGAAATCTCTCTGAAATCCTTTCCTTTTCTCTGCTCTGTTCAGCTGGTACCTCTGGCCTTTGTGCAGGAGGCCGGTTTGCAGAGTGAATTCACATCAGATATGAGCCAACGTGGCACCCGCCCTCACTGTCCCCCTGGGCTCTCTGCCCAGGGACCTCCAGCTGTGTTTGTGCCCAAGGGAACGCTGTGAGGGACGGGAAGGCAGCGCTGTGCCCGCTCTGTGCTCTTGTGGAGGCTGAGCAGGTGGGGTACACCAGTGATGGGGTCCCTCCTGTGTTCCAGCCTGTGACGTGGGGCGCTGGGGCCCCGACTGTGCCCACGCCTGCAACTGCAGCAACAGCGACGGCAGCTGCAGCGCCGAGACCGGGCAGTGCCTCTGCGACGCCGGGTACACGGGCGGCCACTGCGAGCACAGTGAGTGCTGCCCCTGTGCCCTCACACCCAGCCAGCTGCTGCAGATGTGCTCCAGGGACAGGCATGGGTCTGCTCCAGTCCCCATGCCCGGGCTGTGATGCCCTCCCAGTCCTGATGCCAGACTGGGTTCGTCCCAAGGGTGGTGGGGTGATGTGGGTACATATCTGTAAGGGGCAGGGTGGAACCCACCGGTTGTTATAAAAAAGCAGCTGCCAGATACTCTTACTCCGTTCAGAACCTGGTCCCCTGCCATAGCATAGCTTCCCTGGGACCCTGGAAAGGACAGGCTCCTCAGTCTCATTTCCTTCTGCTTTCCAGAGTGCCCAGAAGGATGGTTTGGGCTGAGCTGTCGGCACCAGTGTCAGTGTGAGAACGGGGCAGCCTGTGACCATGTCAGCGGGGCCTGCACTTGCAGCCCAGGCTGGAGAGGAACGTTCTGTGAGCACGGTGAGTACCTGCACCTGGAGACCATGACCCACACCTCCATCCCACAGGGTTTGTGCTCCCTGTCTGACTTTACTATCCTGTTACAGCAAAGGGAATCCCTCAGGATGGTCATGGGGTGAACCACATGTCCTCAAGCTGCTGTCTCTGCTTTTAAATCTAGAGGGAAAATGGCTAGGGAAAAAAAAAAAGATTAACAAAATGAAAAAAGGAGGGAATGCAGTGGATGCACAGCTGCCCTGGTCCCTGTGTATACATGTTGCACACAGGATCTTAGAACAGCCTCTTGGAAGGGTCCCTGGTGCAGGGATCCCACCACCAGCCTGTGCAGTCTCTTGGTGGTCAGGAACCTCATGGCATTTGCCTCCTGATCCACCACAGCTCAGTCCTGTACCTGGAATGTCCAGAGTGGATATAGATCTAATATCTGCTGCCCTGCCAGGAGGGAGCCCTTCACAGTGGCCATCACACCAGTGCAGCCTTATATCAGCCAAAAAGGCCGCCAAGAAGCACCTTTTCTGCGGGGAGGTTTCCAGCTCTGTATAGTTGTTTTGTGAGGATTTCTCCTTTGTTTTCCACAGCCTGTCCCGATGGATTTTACGGACTGGAGTGTCGGCAGACCTGTGACTGCCTGAACGGTGCCCACTGTGACCCTGTGACGGGCCAGTGCCAGTGTCCCCCCGGCTGGACCGGCCCCCGCTGTGGCCAGGGTGGGTGTCTGCGGCCAGGCACCCCCTCTGTGCTGGGGTGGGATGGAGAGAGGCAGAGCTGCCCTCCACGGGCACTCTGGAGCCAGTGCTGTGTCTTTGCTGCCAGGTCATAGGAACCAGAGGTTTGGGTGACCGTTCCCCATCTGTGATTTTCTCTGGGTGGAGTTCAGTTCTGCATGGCAGGAGTATTTGGATTCAGACTGGGAGGCTCTGGCTGAGCACACTGTGGCTGGATGCAATGAGGGTTTGGGCATTCAGCAAAACTACTTCTAAATAGATTAAAAGGATGTAACTGATGATAACAGTGTCAGGGTGTCATCGCCTGTAGGACACATTATTTCTTCTTAGCACCATAAGACCACCTCACACAGCAGCCGAGCACCAGCGCTGGGTCCTCTCCCAGCCCCTGGGATGGTTGGCAGGAGCTTGGCTGCTGTAATTCCCACCTGCTGCCTCACAGTCCTGCCTGCTCTGCTTCCCCTCAGCGTGCCAGGAGAACAGGTACGGCCAGAACTGCAGCCAGACCTGCCACTGCTTCAACAATGCCACCTGCAGCCACGTCAGCGGCCGCTGCCTCTGCGCTGCCGGCTGGACGGGACCCACGTGCCAGCAAGGTAATGCTTCCCAACCCAGTCTCTTCCCCTGCCAGCCTAGGGATGCCATTCCCTGGGGCGGGTGGGGTGCCATTCCTGGGGTGGAATGCCACTGCCTCTTACCAAATGTCATCCTGTGGGCAGCTGAGCAGCCTCAGGGGGTCGTGGGCTCCTCTCACTGCAGCAATAACGGTGTTGGTTTGTACCAGGCTGTCCACCCATGGCTCTGGTGGCTGCTGCAGTGTTGTGCCTGCCTTGAGCTGTACCCTGACTGGCACATTTGTCCTCCTTTTCCCTCAGCCTGCCCGGCGGGTTCCTTTGGGAAGAACTGCCTCCAGCGCTGCCTCTGCCAGAACGGTGGCACGTGTGACCCGGCCACGGGGGTCTGTGCTTGCCCCGCGGGCTGGACTGGGCTGGCCTGTGAGCTGGGTGAGGAACAAACCAGGAGAAAAAGCGAACAAACGGCCGCGGGGCGAGAGAGAGCGTCTCCCTGGAACGTGGTTTTTTATGCATTCCGAGGGACCAGGGGTGGGGTGGCAGGGGCTTACGCGGTTGGCGCTCACATTGGCGTGTCGCATGCTCGGGTTGCTAGAGCGGTGGGAGCTGGGAACGTGGTAACAGCAAAGTGTCTCACCCTTGCCCCTGTGCAGCTGGGCCAGGCGCCAGCAAGGGGCCGACTGCCAGGCAAAGCGCTGCGATGCCACCCACAGGGGGGCTGTGGAACGCCAGGACGGGCATGCAGTACTGGCCTCATGCCAGCGCGGCTGGACGGGGCGGACAAGTTGGGCGAAGAGCTTGTAAGTGGGGCAACGGGCTAGGCCGTTGGCATCGAGAAACGGCTGTGTCAGCATCCAGTGCTGCACAGGGAGGGTCTGGGGACCAGGGAGGGCTTAAGCAAAGACATAAAATTCCGATTTCAGTACTGCAGAGAGCTGTCAGGTGCCCTGGTTTTGCCAGCTACTGTGCTTTCTCCTTCCATAGAATCACAGAGCAGTTGGGGTTGGAAAGGACCTTAAAGATCCTCCAGTTCCAACCCTGTCTAGTTCCTTTCCTCTGGAGGCTGTCCTGAAAGTGGTGGTGCACACACAGGGGCTGCGCAGCAGCTGGTGGGAGAGGGATGGGGTTCCCAAAGGCCCAGAGCCCCAGGCATCGGTTCCAAGTGGGGCTGAAGGCAGGACACAGCAATCCTCCGTGGTGAAACCTAAGTGCCAAGTGAGGATCTTCCTTTCTCCCATTTATTATAAGGGCAACAGAGGATCGTTTCCTTTCCACTCTTCCTTCTGTGTGTCCCTGTATCACACTGACCCTCAGGGCCTGGCTTTGGTCCCAAGTCCCAGTAGATCATTACATCAGTCCCTCGGTGGTTCCTGTGCCTGCTGTATCCCTAGAGGTGACACACACACCCTGGCAATCCCCTTCCAATGAGGAAGTGTTGAAAAGGCTCTTGGCCTTCAGAGCAGCAACAGGGACTTCATCACGTATCACCACACCAAGAAGATGCCCACAGGCTTCTTCCCTTTCAGGAGTCACGATATCTCTTGGCACATCCTTATATCTGGGTGTAAAGTTCGGTGCCAGCACTTGCCAGCTGAAGTCTGGCACAAGGGAGCTGCCACCAGCCACTCTCAGGTTTCTTGCTGGGAATGTTTTTCCCTTCAGGAGGCTGGAAACAGCTTGCCTGGCAGCTGAGGCTTGGCCACACAACTCACCTCACTGCATCCTGCCACATCCCAAGGCACAGTTTCCCCTCCCAGTGTCCCCACACCTACAACCCCCAGCAGCGAGGTCCCTCAGCACCAGGCAGTGATAAGCAGTTCTATAATTTCTTTCAATATAAATTAATGAAAAAACCCACCCCAAATGAAGAAATTATATTAATTTTTAAAAAACCCAAGCTAGAGTCCTGTCCTTGTCCAAGGCTGTATTTCAAGCTACCTGTGTGAGCACACAGTGAGGTGTGTGCCTACAGAAACTGCTGGCATAAAGCTCCCATGGCACATTTTTTGGGTGTAACTTGTCCTCTCTCCCATTTTCATCCCTGAAGCTTGTCCAGAGGGGAGGTTTGGGGCACGCTGTGAGGAGCTCTGTGACTGTGGGGACAGTGTCTCGTGCCACCACGCCACCGGCGCTTGTGACTGCCCCCGTGGCTGGAGAGGCCGGCGCTGTGAGAAGGGTGAGGAACATCTCTGGGCAGGGGGAACCCAGGGAAACTGAGGCTCCTACAGAGTCTGGGGGGGAGGGAAGCTTCATTTTTAATAAGAATTACAAATGGTGGCAAAACATTTTGAGGCTGTGGCACAAGGTGCTGCCAGGCTGGCTCGGCACTGTGGGCGAGCACTGGGGCAGGGGCTGCCCCTGGGGCTCTGATGCCTTTCAGGCATTAACCGTAACTTAAGACCCAGGCAGGAGGCTCACATCCCAATGTTTGTTTTCCCACAGCCTGCCTGCCAGGTTCCTTTGGGAAGAACTGTGCCAGCCGCTGCACCTGTCCCCTGGGAGTGCCCTGCCACCACGTCACCGGCCAGTGCGGCTGCCCCCCGGGACTGACCGGCTCTGGATGTGAAAAATGTACGGAGACGGCAGGGATCCTCTCACAGCTCTGCTGACAGGCTCTGGAGATGGCAGGGATCCTCTCACAGCTCTGCTGACAGGCTCTGGGAACGTGACGGGTCAAGCAATTCCTACAGAAAATACAGGGGGGGAAAAAGAGCGAGAGCTGTGCCAAGGAGCAACTCCCAGTCTGGCAGCTGGGTGCATGCCTGCGGAATGTTAGCGGGGCAGAGGGAGCCAAGTGGGAAATCAGAGCTGGGTATTTATCCAGAGGATTAGCAGTAAATCAGTATTAAAATGAGCTCCTGTGAGTATGAGCAAGTCTGGAAGAGACAGAGGCATGTGAGCACATTCCTTACCCAGAGGACAGGGCTGGATTTGCTGTGTCCGTGTGTGGAGTTTGCGGAAATGCGAGGGCAGGTAGGGCTGGCACAGAAAACAGCATCTAATACCTTTAAGTACTTGGTTTTCCTTTCAATCCAAGTCTTTCCTGGAGTCAGGGAAGCTTTTGCATGTGGGTCCCTTTGCTTTTTGGGTGGCAGAGAACTTTTGCTGTCATAAAAAGCTCCCTCAATCCTGGCTAAAAATAAAAAGAAAAAAAAGTAAAGCCTTGCACAGAGGGGTGGGATAGCTCCTGACCACCTTGGTGCCCCCTCTCCTAACAGCCTGCCTGCCTGGAACCTTCGGAGAGGGCTGTGCTCAGATCTGCCAGTGTTCTGGAGCCACCCAGGAATGTCACCCGGTCACCGGTGCCTGTGTCTGTGCCCCCGGCTTCCATGGCCCCTCCTGCCAGCTGGGTGAGTCCTGCTCCGGTCCCTCTGTGTCCCTTTTGCAGGTTGTCCCATCCCAAAGTCCTGGTGCTGTGAGTGATGTATGTGTGTGTGTGTGAGCTCCTGCAGCTCGTTGAGCCGTGGGTGCTTTGGAGCTGCTCTGTGTGACAGAGCGGATCAGAGCTCCAAGGACAGTGCCAGCCTGGCACAGACCCGCTCCCAGCAGAGCTCTCTGCCTGCTCTCTGGGGAAACAGCCATACCAACACACCTGTGGGTTTTCCCAGGATGTCTGGACCTCGAGCTGTACTTTTAGATGCAGAAGCTGCTGTTTCTTCTCCCCCCAGAGTGCTCCCCTGGGTGGTACGGCCGTGACTGTGAGAGGCTGTGCCAGTGCAAGAACGGGGCCCGGTGTGACCCTTCCACGGGGATGTGCCACTGCCCGCCCGGCTACCTTGGCGCCGACTGCGGCATCGGTGAGTGCCGGCTCAGCCGGAGGGGTGGGAGGCGTGGGAGCCTCCTCAGGGGGAGGGGAGCGCTGGGAGCTCTTCCACTTCCCACCTGCCAGCCCTGCTTTGGCCTGACCAAGGTTTTCCTCCTGCAGGATGTCCCGCTGGCCGCTATGGGCAGGACTGTGCGGGGCTGTGTTCCTGCGGGGCCGGCGCTCCCTGTCACCCCGTCACTGGGG